TCCTATATTTACTGCTTTCCCAGTTTATCTTCCCTTCTTAGTCCCATGAAAAATGATTAGTAGAAAAAAAATGCTTCTTAGCAATTGTAAATACAGTCCCTAAAACACTATTTTTAAGCTGCTAACAAGCATGAAAATATGCATTAAACCACATGCTTATTAGTACCTCGAAGAATTCAGGAAAGTTCCCCTCTCTAAAAACCAAATTGAAACACAGAATGTGGTAAGAACTGAAATCTACTTCTTCGCCTTGCACTCTTTGGAGTGGGTTTCATGGGCACCGAGGCAGGACTCCATATCCTGAGCACAGGCCAATTGTTGGCTCTCTCTCATCCTCGGTTTCACAACGTTAGTAAGAAAGGAGGTGGTTACAAAGGAATGGGAGCCGGTGAGCCTGGCAGAGTGGCTGTAAACTGGACAAATGGAAGACAGGGAAATCCTGTGAAATCAGAAAACTAAGGATGGATATCTGAAGCTTTGCCAAATGGGTCCCAGTCCTGTGGAAAGGGGGTTGAAGGTGTGGGTGGTATATCTTTGGGGAGGCAATCAAGACAGAAGAGGTTTGGTTTTGTTTTTCACGTAGGCTCCTAGCGCGGCCCAGCGTGGAGCCCAATACGGGGCTTGAACTCATGACCCTGAGATCAAGACCTGAGCTGAGATCAAGAGTGGGACGCTTAACCAACTGAACCCCCCAGGCGCCCCAAGACAGAAGAGTTAAAAGAAGACTACTGCATGAGATCTCTGAGAAATGAGAATAAAAGCAACTCCCCGCCTCCCCTCCCCCCGCCAGCCTTTAAATCTCCAGGTGCTGCTGTTTATTCAGGCCTAAGCTCTGAGTATTATTTTCTGTTTTCAAGTTAGCTTTACACCGCACAACATTAATCTCAGAATCTACTCTTCCAAGCATTACACAAGGTGATGACTTATAGGGAAAAAAAAAAAAAAAAAAAAAATCCTTTCCTGTGCGCGAGCTTGGGTTCCTCCGCTCACAGTGCCACATTTAAGGGTGCTTTGTTTGAGGGGATGATTAGAGTGGCGCCCTGGGTACTGACTACAGAGGAGCTATTTGTACCGCCCGAGTCTGGGCACTGCATTATATTAAAACTTCCATTTTCGGGTATGTAGTGACTAAAAATTCTCTCCTAGTTTAAACTTGGCATCAACCATATATCTCAGCAGAAGCAAGATTATTGAGTATAGAACCACAGGAACCCGGCGTTTTTCTTTTATACACGCACAGGAAACAACAGACCCAGCCATAGCATCTAGGGCTCCTCCATTCTCACACCGAAATTTCGAGCACTGTGGGTTCTTTCCCAAAGTATAATCAGGAGGCTGCTGTGACTGGATTAAATTAAATCGGATGTGAAAGGCCACTGTCTCTTGCGTTAATAGATCCCAAATTTTCTAGAAGGAGAATGAAATACATTTCACCTTTTTTAGAAGAGGCAGAAAATGATGAAGCCCTTTCTGCTTCAGAAAATAGCACTTCTGGGCCTCTACAGCTCTTCCATTTCCAATAGTCCACCAGCTGAAAATGAATTTACCTAGAGCATGCCTCTGCCTTACTGACAATTGAGAGCCAGGAAGCACAGATGGCACCCCAAAGGGAGCAAGGTCCATGGAGTCACGGGAGAGGTAGAGCCCAGGCGAAAAAGTGAGGATGAGTTGATCTAAATTTATCACCACTCAGGGCACAAGATCATGTACAGGCAGTTCGACACCAATCTCTATATAGTCCTGTCCTACTGACATGTCCCTATTTCACCCATCGCTGGAAGAGCCATGTTCTGTGGATTAAAAAACCCAAATTAATTCGGCATCATTAATTACATATCACCTTAGAAAACTTTTAACCCTTTTACTCTCGTATGTAAACAAAGCAGTGTGCACAAAGTCTTAACACTATTCCTCTAAGTTATAAAAGAAATAACATTTCTGAATGTTAATTTTGTTGGATATCTACTATTTGCCTGGCACTGTGTGAAGAGTTTTACGTGCATTATCATATTGAACCCTTAAAAAGAAAGAGAACCTTAACCTTAACCTTGCTATTGTTCCCATTTTACAGAAGAAGAAAGCTTTTGAGAAATTATTTGCCTAAGATCATAAAACTTGTAAATAACAGCAGCAATATAGCTTACTAAGGTAGTACTCATATATTTTCTCCCATTAAAAAAAGGCTGAGGATCTGTTCCCGTAAAAAGTTGTTAGATGTTCCTGAGAATTGGAACCAAGTGGGTCTGCAGATCTGGCCACCAGAACAGAGTTCTCAACCTCTTCTTGGACACAAAGTGTTTAAATGGTTACTCTGCTCAGCCAATCACTCAGCTATCCCCAAGCCATCTTCTGCCTTAGGGGAAGAAGATGAACAAAATTTCAAGACTTAAATAAAAGTTTAATATAATTTTGCTAAGAAAATCAAACTTTATCTTCAATGCTCATGATTCTGGAATAATTTCATGGAAAGAAAGATAAAGTTTTGACATAACTTGGAAGACAGGGTAATTTTTATAAACACAATGAATTACATGTAAGTTTGGCTAGGCAGTTTTGGAGGCTCGACAAGCAGCCTAAGATTCCAAAAAAACCCCAAGAAACCCCAGCAATCTGGTGGTCTCATAATTTCCCATTATCAAAACTACTCTCCCATAAATCTGAATCCAATCCAAGAATTATGTCAATAGCTGGTTGTTTCAGATTAGGCTTCTGATATAGTAAGAGAACTATGTAAGGTGCCAATATGCTTAAAAAATATTCTAAACATGTTCAGGTCAGATGAAGTTAACAGTATTTAATGCTACAAGCATGGAATAGTCTTGTGCCTGAGATCCAGCATCCTGGATACAGTATGTGTAAGTAGGTACTGTACTCTATCTCCCCCCTGCTGGCAGACCCTTGTCACTAAAAACGATGAGCTTCTTTGAGACTATATGAGACTATATCACACATCCTCAGCAAGTATCTCCGGGGCTGGAAAGCAGTTAAGATCCAACCATGAGAGAAACTGGAAAGAGTAAGGGAATAAAAAAATTTTCATTATTCCAAAACCCATCTCATTTCCCAAAGTGCTGCGTAGGTGCCGACTTTCTTAAAGAGCCCTGCAAAATCTTGCTTCTCCAAAAAATACACCCATTTGGAACTGAGACGAGGTGAGGTCAACGACTGGTATTATCAACAACCATAGCTGACTCGGGTTCGCTCCTAATCTCGTGCGGGCCAACCCTCACCACGAGGGTGAAAACAGGAGAGATGGAGGAAGGGAATGAAGCAGAGAAAAGGAGAAAGGGGAGAGACCTCCGGGCCACACTTCTTTCCAGTATCGACAAAAAGAGAAGCCGCATACTGACCTAAATCATCTCTCAAAGGCGCTTTATAAATTGCGGGGACAAAGGGAGGGGGTGGCGGGTGGCCTGGGAATCCTGCAGACACCCTACCCTCTGACCCGCCCCCCTCCCCCTCCAGCACAAGGGAAGGAAGACAGAAAACAGAGCTTCAACTCGGCCATTGGCGAGAAGCCCCCCCCCCGCTTCCCGATCGCCCATCCATCGGCCCCCCAGAGAAAAAATACGCGTAAACACCGCACCCACCCCCCGGGGCGGACACTCCCGGCCCGAGGTTCCCAGCACCCGAGGCCGGGGCATTTACTTAGTTAGATTTTTCTTGCTTACTCATTTCCCTCAAGCACCCAACCCCCCGTTCCCACTCCAAAACCCCGCTCAACCGCCTACCCCCACGGCTTCGGCCCCCAACAGAAGCCGGCGCCCCCGGGCCGTCCCGGTCACTAACCTGCTGCTGTAAGGGCATTTCCGAAACCAGCCTGGCTCCGGGGGAGGTGGGGGGGCCGCTGGAGAGGGGGCCCGGAGGGCCGAGCAGACCGGCGGCGCCGGGCGAGGGCGGGCGCCCGTGGCGGGGGCGAGGGAGCGCAGGGGGCGGGTGGCCGCGCCGGGGGCGGGTGCGAGGGCGCCGGGACCGTCCCAGGCCAGGGAGCCGGCGAGCAGGAGGAAGTGGGTGCCCCCCTCTCCCCCTCCAGCGCCCCCTCCCGCCGCCGCCTCCTCCCCAGTCACAGGCGCGTCCTCCGCGCACGTGTGCGAAACGTCACCGGCGGGTCCCGGGGAGAGGGACAGACCCAGGCGGCGGGACGGGAGCACGGCTGCCCCCGCCCTCCGTCGCCGCGGGGCGGGGAGGGGGACAGGGCGGGGAAGGAAGGGGCAAAGGGAGAGGCGGGTCAAGGGCAGGCCCGGGGCCGGCGCGAAAGGCCCGGGCGCTCGGGCCACGCGGGCGCCGCGGCTGCGGCCGCCGGGATGCGCCCAGGCCGGGGCGCCTGCCGCGAGCCCCTCACCCCCAGACAGCCCACGCCCCAGCTCGCCCCGGCTTCCAGCCCCACCTTCCCCGCCACCTCTCTCCGCCTCCCCCGGCCCCTTTGTTGCCGGGGGTTGCAGATCCCAAAATGTGTCAAGCGCGGCATGGCAGAGCCCCTGCGCCCCGAGCACGCCTTAGGGACCCCCGGCAGCCGACGGGCCTCCGAGGCCGGCGAGGGGCGATCACCCCAACAGCCCCCCCCGGTTTCCAGCCCCCGGAGTCCCCCACTCCCCAGTTCACTACTCCCTCCCCCACCCCCTTCTCCATCCGGGGCGTGACCCCTTCCTACGCCCGAGAAAGAGGAAGCTTCGAGTTGAAGGGGAGGGGAGGGTGGGGGTAGGGAAAAGTGCAGGAAAAGAAGGGGGGGCCGCGAAAAGTTTCGGAGTGTCGGAAGTGGTCCGCGCCAAGGCAAGCCCCCTGCCCCGCGCGCCTGGCGGAGCCCCCCGGCCCTCCGGGCGCAGGGGGTGAGGGGGAGCGCCCAAGTCTAACAATAAAGCCCAGCCCGAGGGGCAGCCGCCGAGGCCCACGACGCTCGGCCCCGCGCCGTCCCGGGGCGGCCCGCAGCGCGCCCACCACCCCGCGCCGTGCGAGCCCACCTCCCGCCCGGGCTGGGGACGGTGGGAACGGGAGGGCATTACCGGAGGGCCGCCGCCGCCGCCGCTGCCGCCGCGTCCCAGCGCTGGTGGCTGCTGCAGCAGCCCGGCTCTGCTGGAGGGTCCGTGCGGCGTGGTGTAGAGGAGGCTGCCGGCGGTCTGCTCCGCGCCGGGGGCACTGGGGAGGAGGGGGCCGGCGGCGACGGCGCCGCTTTGGAGGGAGGAGGAACAGGAGGTGGTGGAAGTGTTCGTGGTGAGGATCTGGATGTACGCGCCCGGGGCTGCGGCGGCGGCGGCGGCGGCGGCGGGGAAGCCGGGGCTGGCTAGCAGTGCCCTTTTGTCCATGGAGGCTGCAGCGGCGGCGGCGACAGCCGCCCCCTCCCCACCCCCGGCGGTCACCAGGTACTGCTCCAGGGCGGGCTGGATCCCCTTTCTCATCTCTCGCTCCTGCTCTTTTTATTGCTATGGTATTTTAATGTATTGTTTTCAATTTCTTTATTATTTGCAGTCGGAGTTTCCAAGTCTCTCCTCCTTCTCTCCTCCCCGCCCGGCGCCTCCGAGCCCCTTCTCTCTCTTTTCTTATTATTTTTCCGCACCGCACGGGCCCCGGGGGCCAAAAATAACCGGGGCTCTGGAGAGAGGAGGGTCCCGGCCGCACGGATATCGGGCCCCGAGGGGGGATGGAGGCGTCGGGGGCGGCCGATGCAACGGATTGCGAGGCGGCGGCGGCAGCCCGGGTGCTGCGGCCGGCAGCTGAAAAATGGCTCCAGGAAGCTGCTGCTGACAATGAATGAAGGGATACGGTTTACGCGCCAAGGTCCTCCCGCGAAACTCAGATTTCCCGCCGGCTTTTCAAACCATATTTGCATATCCCCGCCCTTCAACCCGCCGAGGACCGTTCCCACAGCCCATTGGGCCTCTGCCTCCTTACTTAAGTCCCAATCGTGGCGCAGGGCCGCGACTTGCCGGTTTCCATTGGCTACCGTGCATCATGGTTACCGGGGCGACAGGGCCTCTATTTGCATAGGCCTCCTTGATTGGCTGAGGGAGAGCAGGGTTCTTAGGAGGTGGGGCAAAGCCCTTCCTTCTCTCCCACGGAAGACCACGCCTTGTCCAAGCTCCGCCCGGTCCCCGCCCGCACGCCGGGCGGGGGCTGCTGACCTGGGCAGGCGCTCAGCGCCCCGCGGACTCAGTGTCCGTCTAGCCTGGAGCGCAAGTTTCGCTTTTAGAAATTGTCAAGGTGACCAAGGGGACACTTGCGGGAATTCACTTTCCTTTGGCCAGTCAGTGTGATAGATGTACACGAGCTGCAGATTCTCCCACATGTGCTCCAAAGGCAAGCTGGACCATGCGGACGATGCCTGGCGGGTGGGAACTGAGCCCTTTAAATCGTGGGTTTCTCTTTTCCTGAAATCCAACCAATGCCGCGGCGAGAGCTGATCCCGAGGCCCAGGCTGATAGACAGAAGCATGTGGGCAGACGGGATCGTGGGGGCAGAAGGTTCGACTGACGCGATTGCGGGCACCACTTTAGTTAGCATTCCAGATCATTCCTGGTAGCTTCATTATTAGCCTGGATGGGGTTTAAGTAAAAATGAACTCTGGAACGTTTGGGGTGAAAGCTCACCACGAGTATTGGCAGCGCCCCCCCCCCCCCCCCACTGGCCAGAAGCACCCAGGGCAGTTAATCAGGGCTAACTTAGGACTGATCTGCGGGTTTCTAATCCGCCAAACAGTAATCCGAAGAAGTACACGCTTCCCACGATGACGTCTTGCTCCCAGCAAACGCCGCACGCCCAGGCACCAGCGCTTTACAGTCTCGGTTTCCTACCAAGTTCTCCGGCTGAAAGCAAACGCGACGATCCAGACTCATTCCAAAACATTTTAAACGACTTTTTTTTTTTTTTCTTCAGTAAACCAGAAATTGTCACCAGAAGTCTATTAAATTATTGTCAAATCGACTTCTGTATTGATGCAACTCTGTTCATGGGTCTTAAAAAAATTGATTGCTTCTGTGAGACTGAACAGGAAAAGGAATGTGGGGAAAGGTGTACGTGTCAGTCGTCATTTACAATTCCGGTCACCGAGAATTGTACAAAATAGCCGCTAAGCGGGTGTTCATAGGGTGATGAGGATTGCGATTCTTCATGCCCTGCTGCAAAACTTTATTATTATTGTTATTAATAATGATTTCCAAAGAATTCCTATACTCAGTATTACGAAAGGCCTGGCCAGATCTGTCAGTTGAGGCTCGGACTCCCTAATACTTCAGTCCTGTTAACCTAGTGTGAAACAGGACGAGCTAAAAGTACTGTTAAACCTGGCACCAGGCTCAGGAATGTTTTGGTCTTATATGCAAGCTGGTTGGGGACGCATGGCCTAGTCCCCAAACACTCTATCATAAAACTGACACTCTCTTTAGGGCAGATTAGGTGGTATTCGGAGGGCATCAGTTCTAGTTGGACTAGAGGCATACTGTATAAGCAGTTTCCTTGATCTTGTTCCATCGATGCTACTTTCCACCGTGGGTCACTACTGAGAACCCTCCTACCGTTAACTCCTTGGATATTACCACCCTTAGAACATCACGGGCAGCATGGTTTTGGTGGTGACCATGAGGGTTGTGCCCGAGTCGTGAGAGACCTGCATTTTTAAGATTAGAGACAAGCCCAGGATTTGGAACTGTGTACAAAATCCCGGCTAGATCTCCCCGCGAGTGATTTACATTAAGATGAATATGACCGTCACATACTTATTCTACTTTAGCCAAGTTATATTTTCAATGTAGGGTATTTGGTAGAAAGCAAATGTTTTGACATTTTATGTCTTCTGACAGAAAGTAAGATGCTAAAATTTGAGGTAGGCTATTGATTTGTGGAGAGGCAGCATGTTCTAGTAGAAAGATAATGGGTTTTGAGCCACTTGCTAGTTATATAACTTTAATCTTTAAAAGCCTGCTTTCTCATACATTCAGTGGGAAGTCATATTGCAATGCCCATATTACAAGGTCATGATGAAAAGGGGCAATAATAAATGTAAAGTGCCGGGCATATAGCATAGCAGGTGCTCAATAAGTGGTAGCTATTTATGATTCTGTTTATTCGTGTGATTGTGCTTTGTAGCTCTGCGTAGTCCAATCTGACTCCCAGCCTCAAATCTTCCCAACTGCCCGTGGATGTCCACTTGCTATGGCAGCTTAGCTTTGTCCCAGAGTAGGAACACAGTGATGTCCTGGTTAGTAGGGATTCTAGAAAACTGACTCAGAAGTGCAGGGTAATGAAGTCCTCGATCCTGCTCATCCCACTCCCATCTAATCTGTTAGTGGCTCCTGGCTGGTTCCTGACTCCGAGCCTTCCTGTCCTTCCCTGGAAGGTTAGACTGATCTAGCCCTAGAGCCAGATTGCTCTTGCCAATGACCACCCCCTTTCTCTTGCTATGACAGTGGCCCAGGCAGCTAGTTGTTACAAAATGGGCCTGTATAGTTAGAGTGGTGGCCCCTCAAAAAAACATGTCCTTGTCCTTATCCCTAGAACCTATAGTGTGAACTTTTGTGGAAAAAGGATCTTTGCAGATGTAATTAAGTCGAGGATCTTAAGACAAGATCCTTCTGAATTACCTAGGTGAGCCCTAAATCCAATGAAAAATATCCTTATAAGAGACACCCGAGGAAAGACACAGAGGAGAGGCTTCGTTGAAGATGCAGGCAGGGTTTGGAGTGAGCAGCTGAAAGTCAAGAAATGCCAACAGCCACCAGAAGCCAGAAGAGGCACGGAGTAGAATCTTCCATAAAGCCTCTGGAGGGAGCAGAGCCCTGCCAACACCTAGATTTAGGACTTCTGGCCTCTAGACCTGTGATAGAATAAATTTCTGTTGTTTTGAGCTACCCACTTTGCGGTAATTTATTGTGGCAGCCCTGGGGGACTAATTCAGTCTGCTGGCCTGCCTACCTGAATCTCAAACCTCTTCGCTGCTACTCACCTTGTTTTGTGCTGTTGCTAAGAGACCATTCCTTGCTGGGTGCCAATGACACTGATTGTCAGCCCGGGCTAGAGCCCCTGTTGAAGACTTTTCAAAGCATGACTTGTTGCAGACTTACCTAAGGAGTTCGTAAAAATGCAGATTCCTGAGCTCTCCCCAGTCCTAACAAGCCGGAATCCTTTGAGGCGGAGCCCAAGCATCTTATTTAACAAGTCCCTGCAGGTTAATTTCTTCAAGCACTAAAGACTGAGAGCCAGAGTCAGCTGTATGACTTTGGACTTCTTCGCATTATTTCCTATTCTAGCTCCAGCTGGAGTTGCCCCTCCTGTGCCTAAATGCCTCGATGGGTGTTTCTCATCCTCCTGCCCCTTCTCATCCTGCCAGGTAACATAACAAGCTCGGAATTCCTATTTACTCATGTACACACGCACACACACACACACACGTACTATATATATATATGTATATATATGTATATACATATATATATATATATAAAGCTGGATATTGTAATCTTCTCTAGAAGTCTTCATTTTCAATTTCAAAATAAAATTTTGCCAACATCCATCAGACCAATATAAATAATTCCTAAGAAACAGTACTCTTAAGCAGTTTTGTGGCAATTCAATATTAAATCTTCAGATAGAGAAATCGTAGGCTCAGGACACTAAAGAAACTGCTCATAAGCCCAGAAAGTCTTTGGAACAGCGAAAAGTTTAAATTGTGCCTCTAATTCCGGTTCAGCCAAATCCGGTTGGCACATTGGATTTAGAGTATATAGCTTTAAAATGTGAGGGTGGAGAAGACTAGTTTAAGAATTTAAGGCTTTTGTAGTGCAATTCAGTTAGTTGCCCACATCGAAATAACATTCTCTGTTTTATCTTCCTGGTTAGGAAGAGCATGTCCTTAAGCTATTACCACATCACACACTAATAATGAAATTTCTAGGTGCTTATCCTAGAAAATTGACCATTATAGCTATTATAGATTGTGGTTTAGATACCCAAGTAGAGTTTCTTGTCTTCAGCTCTTTGTCCAGGAAGGTACTGTTTGGATAGAGCTCTTGTGTTTTTATTATTTATTTATTTAAGATTTTATTTATTCATTTGAGAGACAGAGAGTGTGTGAGTGGGAGGGGCAGAGGAAGAGGGAGAAAGAATCAGAAGCAAATTCTGCACTGAGTGCAGAGCCCGACTCTGGGCTCAACCCCACAACTGGGAGGTCACGACCTGAGGTGAAACCAAGAGTCAGACGCTTAATGGACTGAGCCACCCAGCTGCCCCTTGTGTTTTTAAATAAATCTAGGATGAACTTCTGGCACAGTGCATGGCTCTCAAACACTTCTACCGAATCTGCATCTCTGATTGGAGTTCAGGAATGTGCCTTATTATAAACAGGGTAATTGTGATGCAGGCACTCCACAGAACACACTTGGAGAAACATCCACAGGCGTCTATCCATGACCTAGCAATCTCTGCCCTATAAACTGGCTTCTTAGGCAACTACCTAACATCGACCTGAAGTACCTTTCGTCATG